GTCCTTGTTGGGCTGTTCAACCGCCATCAGAGGTATCAGACCGCGCGCTGGGCCGTCCACTCGCTCGTCATATGCCTGCAGCCACCCCTCTCGAGCCCACAGTTCCAGCTCCTCGTCATAGGCTGGCCGTGCCGCGTCCGGCACTTTGTACTGGGCGACTGTATTGTTGAGGCGGTCCGGGCCCTCTCCGTCTGTCCACTTCCACGCCACCGTCCACTCGCCACTGTCTGCCGAAAACCGGGCCGTAAAATCCACGGCGTCCACTGACAGGTCCCCACGGTCCACACTGGCGGCCGGCGCCGCCCCTCTCACCGGACCCGCCCCCGTCACGGGCGCCGTCCCTGCCGCGGCCTTGGCATTGGCCGCCACCACTGCCCCATTTGTCACCGGCCCTGCCGCCGCCGTCTCGCCCTGCACCGCGGCCGCCGTTCCCACGACTTTAGGGGCCACCGTACGCACAGCTGGCGTCGCCACCGCCACCGCCGCCGTCGCTGCTGGCGGCGCCGTCTCCGTTGGCACCGCTGTTCCAGCAGCTGGCCTCGCCCCTGTCACCAGCGGCGGCACCGCCATCGCCGCCGTCGTTGCTGGCGCCGCTCCTGTCACCACCGTCGGCACCGCCGGCGCCACCGCCGTCACCGCCGATGCCGCCGCTTCCACAGCCGGCACCGCCCTCGTCACCACTGTCGGCGCCACCGCCGCTGCCGCTGCCGGCACCACTGCCGCACCAAATTCCACGCCATTGGGCATCTTCACACACACTCCGCCCAGTGCCACAATACCAGACATACCGAGCACCACGTCCATGCCCAGCGGCCGATCGGGTACGACCAGGGCCGTCAGGCTCGCCCGGTTCTCTCGGTGCTGCACGGTGATCTCAGCGATGCCCAGACAGCGCAGCGTCCCGCCGTTCACGGTCATCATGTTGACCGGGCGCGGTGACCAGTCCGAGCAGGCTCCAGCATGAACGAGTGTGTCCGTGCAGCCCGTGTCCACTAGAGCACGGCACTTACGCCCGTCCACGCTGATCCACACAACCGGAAGTGTGCGCGCTACTGATTGGGAGACGGCGCTGGCGCTGACGCGGTCTCCCGACCGTTTGGGCACCTTCTTGCGATGTGACCCACCTGGTCACATACCCAACAACGCAGCGGGGGGCGGCTGGCTCTACGCTCCGTCGGCTTACGGCGGCTTGCTCCGTCGGCCTGCTCACGGGCCGCTGCCGCCACCGTGGAGGTGCGCTCGTCACTGAGCACTGCCCGCGCCCTCGTCAGAATGCTGGCCAGGTCCAGCGCCTCTGCTCGAGTGCCGGCCCGAATCGCGCTGCGGACGGTGTCCGGCAGTCCAGTGATGAAGGCACAAGCGAGGGCCTTTTCCGATACTCCACCGTGCAGCGTGGCCAAACGGCGCAGGTCCGCCAGATAAACGTCGGCCGACTCGCCCGGCTGGAGACGGCGGCTGGCATACGCGTCGTAGGCCGCCAGCGGGTCCATGGCGAAGGCGTCGTACAGCGCGTCCCTGACGCTGTCCACGGAGCGGCGGCTCTCCTCTGACATCTGCAGCCAGACCGCGAAGGCACCGCCAGTCAGTCGTGCTGGCAGCACGAGCGCCAGATTCACCCCATGGTGCTTGCTCAACACCTCGGCACGGGTGAACCATTCCACTATGTCCGCACCGGTCCCTTCGCCACTGAACTCGGGTATTAGCCGAGGGTCGAAAGTGGCCCTTCCGCCGGACTCCGCTGCCGTCGGCGTCACACCAGCACTAGCACTCGCAGATGCCTTCACTTTAGGCATGGTGCCGAAATAGCTTGTAGTCGAGTGTATTGGGTGCTTCTCCTGCGACCGTTCCAACCACACTGCCAACCCTCCCGTGCGACCCGGCGCCGCTGCCACCGCGACTCGGCGCCCCCGTCGTCACATATGTAACAGGACACCCCCTTGGACACATTTGTCAGTGTCGGCTAGACGGCGTCCCCCAGGCGCGTCTGGGCCACGCGGCGTCTCAGCCGGTCACACAGAGCCACACATAACTATAAACTACAGTCACTTCGCTTTTTTTTTTAGCAAAATCACCTCGGGCCTAACGGCCCTTGGAGTTTTCGCTAAACACCGTCCGGCAGTGCGGACGCTTATATCTCAGCAACCACTAGACCGATTTACTTGCGGTAATTTTTTTTAGGGTAGCTTCAATCCGTCAACCAAGTAGGTATTGGACTATTCCCGATGTATGTGGGTCACCCCTTATGCACGCGCCAGTTGCCACGTGCAAAACGAAGAGGTGTCAGTTTTGTAACAATTGCAATATCTCTGTAACTACAGGGCCGATTGCGCTGAAACTTGGCGTGTATAGGTACGCACCCACTAGGCAATGCATTTGCATATGACACAGTTGGGGTGCTGCTGCACGTGCGCACGTGCAGGGATCGATTCCAGATCTCGAGAACGGTTTGACCGATTGCGCTCAAATTTGGTACACGGTCAGGGACCGGTTAGTAGGGTGCCGTGCAAAAGTCAGTTGGGACCCATTTTGCACGTGCGCACGTGCATGGTGCCGCTTCCAGATCTCGAGAACGGCTGGGCCGATTGTGCTCAATTTTGGCACACCGCTAGAGACCGGTTAGTAGGGTGCCGTGCACAAGTCAGTTGGAGGTACCCCCTCGCAATTTCGCACGTGCACGGTGCAACGCCCACCCTCTCGCAGCGCTCGCTCCGTTGGTCGCCCCAAAGGGCGTTTTGCTGGTCTACGAAGACTACGCTCGCTTCGCTCGCTCCGTAATGATATCTCCGTACCTACCGTAATGGTGCAAAAAATACAAAATAATTTTCCCCATCACTGATTCTATCTCTTCCAGTCAACTACCATCATAAATTCTCATCGTTAGTGATAAAATTTAGGTCGGTAGCCGCGTGCTAGGGGCGGTTTAGTAAAATGAAAAGTTTGCTTATCCCGAGGATGTCTATTACCTTAATGTCGTTGCTGTGTGTGTCAGAAGAGTGATTACGGAGCGACCGAAGCGAGCGGAATCTTTCCTTAGATTAACGGAAATTTCTGAGCACGAGCGGCCGGCCGGCCGTGGTCACGATTTTGCGACGCTTATATCTCAGCAACCACTTGACCGATTTACACGCGGTAATCTTTGTAGGGTAGCTTCATTCCTTCTACCAAGTATTGGACTATTCCCGATGCATGTGGGTGACCCCTTATGCACGTGCCACGTGCAAAACGAAGAGGTGTCACTTTTGTAATTGTTGCAATATCTCGGTAACTACTTGGCCGATTGCGCTGAACGTTGACATGTAGGTAGGCACCCACTAGGCAATGCATATCCATGTGCCAGAGTTGGGGTGCTGCTGCACGTGCGCACGTGCAGGGGTCGATTCCAGATCTCGAGAACGGCTGGACCGATGGCGCTCAAATTTGGTACATGGCTAGGGACCGGTTAGTAGGGTGCAGTGCAAAAGTCAGTTGGGACCCATTTTGCACGTGCGCACGAGCAGGGTGCCGCTTCCAGATCTCGAGAACGGCTGGGCCGATTGTGCTCAAATTTGGCACATCGCTGGAGATCAGTTAGTAGGGTGTCGTCACGTCGTGCACAAGTCAGTTGGAGGTACCCCCTCGCAATTTCGCACGTGCAAGGCACACCCTCTCGCTCGCTCCGTTAGTCGCCCCAAAAGGCGTTATTACGAGCGAGCGAGCGCAGCGAGCGAAGCGAGTCTTTTCAATAAAACGGAAAAATCTCAGTATGAGCGGCCCGGCCCAGCCCGGCCTGTAACGCTTTTGAGAGGCTTATATCTCAGCAACCGCTAGACCGATTGGCCTGCGGTCTTTTTTGCTGGGTAGCCCCATCCCTTCTACCCCGTAATTGACTACTTTTGATACATCTCAGTGACCGTCGTGGCACGTGCCACGTGAAAAGTCAAGATGTTCAACTTTCAAGCCATTTTGCAAAAGTAGTGATTTTGAGAGGCTCATATCTCAGCAGTCGCTTGGGCGATTGTCTTGCAGTAATTTTTGTAGGGTAGCTGCATCCCTTCTACCAAAGGTCGGATACTCTTGATCTATGTGAGTGACCCCCACTGCACGTGCAAAATACAAAAAGAAGAGGTGCCAAATTTGTTCCCATTTCAATAACTCGGTAATTACTAATTACTGGGGCGATTTCGCTGAAACTTGGCATACAGGTGGGCACCCACCAGGCAATGCATTCCCATGTGTTGTGGTTAAGGTGCTACTGCACGTGCGCACGTGCAGGGGGCGTTTCCAGATCTCGAGAACGACTGGGCCGATTGCGCTCAAATTTGGTAAACGGTTGGGGACCGGTTAGTAGGGTGCCGTGCAAAAGTCAGTTTGGACCCCGTTTGCACGTGCGCACGTGCAGAATGCCGCTTTCAGATCTCAGGAACGGCTGGGCCGATTGCGTTCAAATTTGGCACACCGCTAGCGACCGGTTAGAAGGGTGCTTTGCACAAGCCGGTTGGAAGTACTCTCTCGCCTTTCCGCACGTGCAGGGCTCACTATCTCGCTCGCTCGTTCTTCGCCCAAAAGGCGTTTTACTGGTACTGGTAGGTATGTCAATTGTCAACTGTTTCAGAAAAACAGTAGACACAAGTCAACCAGTGGTGCCAGTTTCAGGAAAGACTTATCTGGCTAGTTCGTCCGACCGGATTCCGAATTCGACATTGGACAAAATCGGTATCACGAAGATCTGAATTCCTATCAGCACCTACAACCCGTCGCCAGCATCGCCTTTTTCTGTAACGCCATGCATTCCAAATCACACCCGTACATTGCTTCCTCGCTATGCACTGTGCATGCTTGTCTAATTGAATCCACGCAGGGAACCCTAAAACCGAGTCTGAGGCTGCCGATGTCCCAAACGAATCTGGACACGCTGAGGGTGAAAAGTAGACAGTCGTTTGCGTGAGTGTGCGTGTTTCCTTTTTAGATCAGTTGCGAACAGCTTAAAAGGGTGAACCCATTCCCAGACCCCAAGCGAAGAGGATTCGAGCAGCATTGTATTAATACAGTGGTACAAAATTACAGCCATCGATGTACTCAATCAATATAAACTGCAACAGTCTCCAGCTCACACACACTAACAGCTCACTCTGACTATTTGACACCGCGACCACACACACCAACGAACAGCCTCCCCAATGGGGTCAGCGCCACGAGGCGAGATGGTAACGGATCCTCCGTTTGCACCCTGCTTCGACGATTTGCACAACCATGAGTAGCTAACTCGCAGACATTTTCAAAAAACGAACACTACTACCAGAAACGACGACCGATATTAAACAACAGCCTTTTTCGTACTCTGAACGATGGCATCTAGACGTCCAAGATATTTTGAGTTCAATGTCTGACCTCAAGAAAGACCGTTCTTTTTTACCAAGATCGCCTAAGACTTTACAAACGATTAGTAGATACAAAACGAACAAGAATCCCTGGCATGACGACGCACGAGTACGCTACGGAAGAAAACATTTCAGTTGTACCAGAAAACACTCGCATTTAGCAACCATCGAATTGAGCTTCAGATTGAGGAACTGTGCACCTTGCTGAGCTCGGGAAGGAGCGGCAGCCGATGCTACCTGCCTAGCGAGTTGGTCAGCCTCTCCATGCGCGCCAGCGAGCCGGACGAGGTGCTGGAGCCGCTGCCGGAGCCGGTGCCGGCCGCCTCTGCCGGCGGCACGTTCAGCACCGTCAGCCGGCCCTGCGACTGCTGGTGCAGCAGCGCCGGGTTGGGGATCTGACGGCGCGCCGCGCTGCCGCTCACCGGCCGGCACCGTGCCGCCGACTGATCGCCGGCCGACGGCTGCCGCGACACTCCCAACTGCTGCGACTGCGACAGCGACAGCAGACTGCCGATTGCCGACGGCGGCGGCGCGGTCGACACCGGAGGAGGCGTCTTGCCGGCCGCCGCCTGGATCTGCTTCATGGCCAGACTCTCGGCAATGGCCAGCAGTTTGGGCGAGTTGGGCGGCCGGGCCGGCTGCGGCTGCGAAGCCGGCGCGGCGCGGATCTTCTCGATGGTGACACTGCCATCGGCGGTGGCGCGGCCGGCCGGAGAGCGGGGAGGTTCGGCCGGAGCCGGCGACGGCGAGGGCCGGCCGGACGCGGAGGAACTCGTCCCACTCCGGGACATGTTCGGGATCTTGGTGATCGTGATCTCGTTGGTGACGAGATTTTGTATGCCCTGCGTACTGCTGAGGCGGTACTGCTGAGGCATCGTCCTCTGCGCCGCCGGTGAGGCAGCCGACGAAGGGACTTGGTGGCCACTCTTAGGCTGAGCAGCAGAGGCAGTTGAGACAGTGGAATTTCCTTGAGCTGAGTGTTTCATTTGGCCCGATGGTTTCCTCTGCGTGGGTTTGGGTCGGATCGGTTTGCCGGACGCCGGCTGGCTGGGCGCCGTGGCGCGGCTCAGCAGCGCCGAGGCGTCGGCCGGCAGCCGCCAGGAGCCGTTCGGGTGCGAGACGGCCGACTGGCTGACCAGCCACAGGAACTGGTCCAGCTGGCCCGTCATCAGCGGGATGGCGCCGGCGCCGATCGGACGCAGCGCCGGCAGCGACGCCAGGCTGCGGCGCGGCGAGGGCGGCACCGCCGACGGCTGGCCGCCCGCCGGAGCCGCCGGACGCTGGGCGGGGGCGGGGGCGGGGCCCGGAGGAGGACGGTGAGGGGCGGACACTCCGGGGGTGCCAGGAGGAGCCGGACGCTGCACAGGAACTGCCGTGGCGCCATGAGGAACTGGGCGCTGCGGAGGAACTGCTGTGGCGCTCGGATGGACCGGACGCTGCGGGGGAGCTACGGGGGTGCTCGATGGCACCGGTCGCTGCGGCATTGCTCCGGCAGGAGGATTCGAAGGAGCTCTTGGGATCGCTAGCGTGCTCGAAGGAGCCGGCCGCGAAGGAGGACCTCCATTCGCCGTGGGATGCCCCGGACGTTGAGGAGGGTGCGTCATACGAACGCCGGGGGACGTCACCCGTGAATCCACCGCCCTCACGTTAGGTGTGGTCAACCATGACACTGACTTAGCCACCGCCATCGGGCGGGAAGGGGTCCGGTTCTCCGGTACCACCACCGGCGACGGGGTCGTTTTCAGACGAACGGCGGTCTCGTCCTCAGCCTCGGCGTCGAAGTCATACACGTCGATGGGCGAACGGGCCGTGTCGGCGCCGGGTCGTTCTGAGCTGTCGGTATCGACGCCGCTATCCTCACACTGACGGTCGTCGGCGGGCGGCGTCCGTTCCGAGCTGCCCCCGCCCCCTCCCCCGCCAGGCCGCGTGGGAGCAGGCGAGGTGCACGACGCCGGGCTACCGGCAGACAAACTGACGCCACTTCTTGCTGAAGAGCTTGGGGTTGACACCGGCGGTTTGGACGGGGCGCTGGGTTTGGCGACTTTGGCGGTTTGGAGTGCTGGCTTCGGTGACGAACCATTGACCGCAGTCATCGGTTTATGAGTGCCAGCGTTTGTTGCGGTGCTGGGACTAGCGACGGCTCTAGTTTGTGATGTCTTTAAGGACGCACCATTTGGAGGAGCCGCCAGCTTCGGAGCGTTTTGTGGTTGAGCAGAAATTCCTTTAGCTTCATCGCCTGCCACTTTCGACGGCAACTGTGTCTTTTGAGGCGTGGCAGGTTTCGAGGACAAATTATGCTTCAGCGCGGGTGCAACGCCGCTGCTGGGAACGTTGGAATTCTTAGCAACAGCATGCGTGACCCTGGAATCAACGGGAGCGCCGTTGTGTCGCTTTGGATCGACATGGACGCCGTTGGGCGCTGCTGGTGATTTCGGAACATCAGCCATGGCTTTGACCGGCTGGGATCCATTCTGCGATGCACTGGTGGGCTGCGAAGTGTCCGTGCCCTGTCTGTCCCTCTGTTTCACGGTGGACACCATCGGAGCATCTTTAGCACTCGCAGAACACGACAGTTTGTCCCCGCCGGACGCAGCAGCCGGGCGGGCGGCATCGACCGCCTTTTCCGCATCACTACCGCGAATTCCCTGGCTCGTGACACCACCCACTTCCTCACGATTCGGGCACACATCTTTTTTCACACTTTCAGCCGCGGCCTTATCCGCGTGGCCGTTCTGCACACTGTCCTTCGCACTGACCGCCGTCGCGCCGGCTGGCCCGCTGGCCACATGTGTCCTCGTTCCGCTGGGCGTATCGCTGGTGACCGCGCCGGCCGCCGCCGCCGCCGGCCGCTGTCCGTCCGCCTCGCCGCCGGCACAGGCCGCCGGTCGGGGCTCGGTCGGTGCGCCGGCCGCCGCGGACCCCGGCCTGGCCCGCGGTGACGTCACAGACGACGTCATCGGCTCCCTCGGTCCCTCGAGCCGAGCGCCGACGGGCGGCTGCCGCTCGGCCGGCGGCTTCGGAGCGGCCGAGGCGGCCGCCGCCGCGGCCGTGGCCGTGACGGCCACCGGCGTCACGCCGTCCAGAGGCTCGGGCCGGGCGTCGTTTTCGACGTTCTCCTTGTCGCTGTCGGTGCCGGAGAGTCGGTCGTCGGCCGGCGCCGGACAGCGCCGCTTACTCGGCGATGCGGCCGGCTCCGGCGGCTCGGCGCCGAGCGGTCGTTTCGTCGTGTAGCGGTAGGAGAAGCGCATCGGGGCCGCCTGCCGACACACAAACACGGGCGGCTACATTCCAGTCTGCTCAGGCCGGACCGGCCGCGCGGCCGCCGGGGCGCGCGCATTAATTTCCCGCGCTGACTGTCACCGCACGAGCGGCGCGCACAAAACCCGGCCGGCGCGGCGGCGGCTCGCACATTCCGCGGGCCAGCCGCGCCATGGTGAGAACCAACAGAGGGGCACGGAGAGAGAGGAGAGGAGAGAGGAGAGAGCGAGAGGAGAGGGAGCGCTGGGAAAAACATCGGGGAAGGGACGAAATGAAAAAAAAAATGAAAGACGGGAAGCCTGGGAGAAAAGAGATGATGGGAAGGGGATCAAGCTTATGAGAAAAAGGGTGATTGACGGTGAAAGAAAGTGACAAAGGTTGAAATTTGGACAATGTTATTTATTTTTAACATTCGCTACAGGTATTAGCTGACAATTATAGCGTGAAACTGAATAAAACGTTTATGCTACGCTACAAACATGGAAAGGTAAAATACTATTGTTCGCGATATTAAATACCGTACAACATTTTGTGAATGCTTAAACGATTCTCAAAACTTTGCAAAACGAGCCCCACAAATAATTCTTACTCGACAAAATTCATAGCACATTCGCTCACACGATCCCCACTTACCCGATCCCAGTTGTACATGTAGGCCACATCCATGATGATCAACTCATCCGACAAAACGTCCCCAGCGTACAAAATATCAACCTGAAAAGAAAAAGAAAAAACGATGAGCGAGCGGCCACTTCTGTGCTCATCCACGCGATCCGTCATCTCGACGCATCGGCGCCGCTCATGGCTCTCTCATCACATCTGCGACGAGCCGCTGACAAAACAGCGACCGTCCGGCAGCTGAACAGGATTCCGGCACACAGTGTGCCGTCGTCTTGATGGGGTAACAAAGCCGGCCCGAGCCGCCGCGCCGGCCGGGGTGGGCGAGCCCGAATTACACAGGGGCGGCCCGGGCGCGTGCGATTAGCGGCGGCCAGCTGCCTGGGCCCTCGCTGCTTCCCCAGTCGTCCCCTCCCACTCCATCCCTCATGAGCCGCCCGGGACCCAACCAGGTGACATGCACTTTATATCACGCTGCATGACGGTTATATTATAATGCGCACGGAAATAGCCTCGTTTAATGGGTTAACCACTAGGGTTACCCGCGTGCTCCGCAATGCGAGGAAGGGTAATGTTTGACCCGTGGGTGTTAGGTTGGTCCTGTGTCGATTCGGTTGGTATCCATTTCGTTCGATTGTTTTATGACGGCCAAACATTTTGTAATTGAACAAAAAAGATCCATCGCATCGAGGTGCCCGTGTCGTATTATCATGCGTTCTACTTAAGAATGATTCGAAAACTGGCGTGAAGTCTTTTGAGGGCCATCGATGAATTTCGCTAAAAATGACAATGTAATGGTTTAGAACATTTGCATTTTTAAGAATACTGTTATTCATAATGCAAAAAATGAAGACTGAGCCTTGGACAGAATTGAATGCTCTTTCCAACGGTGCCATTTTTAATTGCCAGAGATATCAGATCATTGAGGAAAACCCGTGTGATTAATGAAGTGACACAAAATTGACAAACACTATTTTCTCCCGTGATTTGTACCACCTTGATTTGGATCAATTAGCTTTTCACAATTCTCCCATGAGAGGCGGTACATTTCTCTTGCCAACAGGCGTTGTTCCAACTCGCTCCGTTTAACGGTCAACTAAAAATGAAATTAATCCCAAAATCCGTCAAAAACTGCAATTTTTCAATAAAAGTATCCTCATAGGGGCAAGTGGCGCGTGCCATCCCCTGCAACGCACACCATTCAATAGCCCATTCGATTCTCTACACGATGCTGTTTTCCCCGTGCCGATCGGGCGCACGGTTACCGAGATGTTGCACGGGGATCGGACCCGTGTGGGGCAAATTTAGCCATTTTCGCCCGATTTTGCAAGCCAATTTATACATGTAAAGTCTATGACGCGAATTCGCACTTTTTGAGCACACGCCACGCGCTCCCTATCAATCCGATCGAGCTGAGACCCCTCAAAGGCACGTCGCGCATCCTTGATCTATAAGTTGTGCAAGTTTCACCGCGCTAGGTGCAACGGTCTGGCGTGTAGTCCACGCAAAGCACCACCAAGTCGGGACCTCGGTAACGGACAGACGCACCCTCCTCAAATAGTAATATAGATGTAATCGGCGTTGCGTCCCGCCCGACACCCGTTGGACATCAGTGCCACGCCCTCTTCCCCTCCTCTCCTTCCGCCCCACGCCGGTGGGTTCTCGCGTGAGTTCTCACCTTGGCATCACGCGGTCCCAGGCCGTGTTTAAGACGGAGCAGCTTCTTCAGTTGACTGATACCGAGACCTGCTGGTGCCTGGAAGTAGCGGACAGCGGGCAGGTCCGTCCGCTTACCGTCACCAGTTCCGCCCCTGAAAAGGAGAGAAAAGAAGTTTAGATATGCGCTATCTTTCTCCCCAATGGGCACTCTCTACGATGTACGATGCAATGTATAGTTATGAAGTGCATTAGTGCACAGAAAATTATCCCAAGTCGGCCGTTTGTCCCTCGATGTCGCCCCGTTCCAGCCAAGACGGAGCGGGACCCGGGACCAGTTTTGGGGCGGGACGGTCTGCAGACTCCGATAGCAGCCAGCAGCGTACCGGGCCTGTCAGAACGCTGCACCCCTACAACACTGCAGTAATACCGGACAGGATCGCACCACACGGCTGATTGGCGACAGCGGACAGCGACGTCAAAACAGCGTCAGGCCGGCGGAGGTGATGTATTTATGGTGTAAATAATCGACAGCTATGCTGGGCCAATGGAGCCCGTATGTCTATGTGTATGCTAGACCAATGTAGAAAAACAGGCGGTGGACAATCTAGGAATATGACCTTTGACAGAAGAGTATAGCGATTGCTTTGGTGCAGTCTGCGCGTGTGTTATTTCTTCGTAAATCATTTTCTCGCAGCGCACGTTTCTGAATGTATAGAAATTCTGCAACGTGACGCATATGAGATGGTGGTGCGTCTCTCCTTTCGGATCATCGCCGCGGCAATTGACAAAAAAGTCACTTTGTTACGTCTGACAGACAGAGCCAAAACTCGCAAAACAAACGCTCGAAACTTCCGCCTAACTCTTGACTGAACTTGACCTCTACGTCAGCAACCTCCAGCGAAAACGAGCTTCCAAAGCCAGGACATTACACCTTGAGCCCTTACGTCGACTGACTGGCGGACCACGTGATCGCTCCCTCTCTCCCTAAACCCTCAGAGAAGGACCGGAAAGTCGTCGGTTCCGACCGACGACGACAGCTTCGGTCATCTTTGCTCGCCACTGCCGAGAGCCTCTCACAGGCTATCACGAGGCACGAGCAGCGTCGTCACGTGCCGCAGAGAGCACCAGCCGCCACCGATCACCGCTAACCTTTCGGCCGAGTCCGACCGTGTGCCCGGCCCCGTATGTCTCTGTGCGTCGGGGCGTTGTATTGATTTCCAGAGACCGCTGCAAAAACCCGAGCCGGCCGGCCGCGGGTCTGGACTTCTCCGTCGCCGTCGTCGGACATTCTTTGTTATCGACATCAGAGGACGCCGCGGGGACGCTTCTCGGCTACACAGACGGGCCAATCGGCGTGGTCCGGGAGACGAATTTAGGGTCTGACGTCATTTATTCGAGCCGATCGAGCCGTGACGGTCACGACATGTCGATCGATGTCTCACCAATCGCCGCCCTCCTTTAGATGACGGTATTTTGCACCACTCCTGGTCGAAGCAGCTAATGAAGCTGTTACGGCGCAACGCACTAGCGCCAACGACTAATTATGGTTCGCGCACGCCCGCGTGCTGCCCTCAGCCTCCCCATGAAGACGTCGGGGGTGCGGCCGGCACCTCCTGCTGGCGAGGGAGCGCGGCGTGGGGGAGGCCGTGCGTGGGCCAGCCCACCTATCTCGGTCCCATCTCCGGCCCTCCCTCCTCGTCCCCGGCAGAGGAGTCCCGGGTCCCTCCGCGGCCGCTGCCCACCGCGGCCGCCCGGCGGGGCCGGACCGGGCCGGGCCGGCCGCAATCGGCGAGCACTCGCCAATAACGGAACGCCTGCCGGCCGGCGAATCAGAAAAACGGGAGCTGCTAGGGACCGGGGCGGCGACGGCGGCGGCCCGTGAGCACGTGCCGTCGGCGGTGCGCCGGCAGCCCTCACTGTGCGCTCGGGCGACTCAATCGGTGCGCGCCGCCAGGGCCAAGGTCGAACCGGAGCGCGCGGGGCTCTTTCAGGTGAGCCGGCACGGACAGCGGCAGCCGCTCGGATTTTGGTCCGGCGCGCCCGACCGTAGTATGCAGATGGCGCCCCTCAATGGGCCCATAAATCCAGTGGCAGCGTGTTTAGGGCAGGTGGCGGTGCGCGGACGGCGACCCGCCGCTCCCGTCGAGAATGTCCGTGAATTGGTGGGCCGGCCGCCGACCGTCTAATGGGGAGCGATGGCCGCCCTCGGCCCGCCTCGAGCCCCGTGGACTGTGACGGATCCCCCGCCTGTCAACAGTCGACATCTGCTAACGGTCGCAGAACGACTGCCGTCAACGGTGACATTTTTAGCTCCCAGCACTCACGGCCTTACCTACTTACATAGGAGGGATGCGCTGACTTCTGGCTGAGGATACGAAGGAAGTAGGAAACTCTTGCGGGACTACAGGCCAGTCCAATCCGACCCATGAGGAACAACAAGAACAGCAACGAGCGATGACCAGCGATGACCATTTAGCTGCAGAGTAAGGTGACGATATTCGGGCAATGTTCCGGTGTCATCGAGTTTGATTGATACCGTCAGATCGATATGTCACTCGTCAGCTCACATTTCTCATGTCTGCACCATGGCAACAGGTCGGCCTATCTGATATCGTGCATCTCCAGAGCTGCAACTTCTCACGAGCTGACGTATCGCTGAAATCATCGTAACGTGCTCAGGAAATCCACGATGACTGCCGACTGGTTATGACACAAACTCGTGCGAGCATGAAGCATTTGCATCTAGATTTATACACTCTGACTCGTGTCCCCAATTTAAGCGGCTCAGTTGATGTGACAGATTAGAGTTCTCAGTCGTTAACCGTCAACCCTTCTGGCTTCTGTTTATCATCATTGTGCCGTGTGCGACATGACAAAGCCCATGCATTCATTCAGCGTATTTTCGGGCATAAACCATATAACCTAGCGAACTTGCAACTTGCAAGATATCTAATACTCTGCCGATTCGCTCATTCATACATGTCTGACAGCAATCATAACAATCAAACTGTCAATGCTGGATCTAAAGCTTTGTCTACAAAAGCCGTCATCGGCTAACCTAACTCGAATATAGATTTATCTGCAAAAGACATGCCAGAATATCATCCAACATTCACTTCACTCACAAAAAAATGTCACCAATTTTTCCCCGCCACACCTGCCTTTTGGAACCACACAGAGCATCGGAGCGGAACGCCCCCTGCGTGACGTCACAGCCGGAAAGCGCGCGCCAAAAAAACCGCGCCACGGTCGGCCCGCGGGAGTGCGGCGGGGAAAAAACGTGACGTCACGGCCCGGCCGACGGCGGCGATTGATTGCCGCATCCCGGACCCGGGCCGCGAGCTCCATACAAACACCGACCCGCTCCCCCTCCCCCCCGCTGCCGAGAGTGGCGCCAAAATTACGCGCCATAGCGGCGGCGTCCCTTCGGAGCGGCGCGATAGAGGCCAGGTGGCTGTCGGCTGCATTGGCGGGTGAATGGCGCGCGCGCGCGCCCGGGACGGTCACGTGACCTGCTCTCTGTGGTGTCGCCGCGTGGATAGGGGAGGAGGTCCTTGTGGTAGGATGTGCCAGGATGTGCTACCTGAGGGTCCTGCCGCCACCTGCTGATGGACCACCGGGGGGGTAAAAATGCCCACAGCTGAATCGTGATGTTTGCCACCCAGTTACACAGCGTGGACGGCCCGGCAGTCGCATGGGTAAAAATCGAGACACGGCCCGTTAACAAGCAGGGTGGAAAGCAATTAGTGAAGGGGTAGATGAATGATATCCGTCGAGAGCAAGGGTGGCCGACTGACAGAGAGCTGTCCAAGGGGTAGCTGTGACGCGGCAGTTATTTATCGACATTTTGTTCAGGGGGCACATTACGTGTCCAATTTCCCACTCATAAATATTTCATCTGATCGCGAGTGAACGCAACAAACCGTTCCTGTGTTGGCCATCGTCATAGCTGGCTTATAAGTAGGTTGAAAGCCCGATGATATCTTGAAGAAAAACAAAAGGCTTCGCCAAACAAATACGCAAACAACAATTACGACGGATGAGCAAATAATTTTCGATAGGGAAAAAATGTGGGAAATTTTTACACGGGGGTTAAATAAATACCAGTTTAACTTCTTAGCCGCGGAAAAGTTTACCTTTCATGTCCAATACCCAGCAAACTTCACTTCAGTCCACCGAGTGAGAAGACGTTTCCTTTTTTATAAACAGTCCGTTTAGCTTTAAACATGAGCTTCAAGGTGCGGCATTTTCAATGTGAATTACCCAATACTGGTAAACAAGCGCCCAAAGTTTTCCCATACTTCGGGGCCCACCCTGCGCGGAAAGTAAAATCCTTCAGGCTTCAGCGTGCGGGCGATCGGTCACAATTAATCACTGTTCTCACAGCGATTAGTGCGCGTCGTATGGGAACGCATAAACAGCCAAGAGAGGGGTAATATTGAAGCGAAATGAGGATAGACGTTCTCTGACTGCTCTCCACCATAACCTGCGAAGGAACTCGTTCGCAGCAAGGCACCCACACGGATACACGAATACACACGAATGCATTGACAACACAGAGAGTAGAAACTAGTACATAATATTGCTATTCTCGACGGAAGTAAAGGATTTCATGGAACTTCTTTGCAGTTCAACCAACGGCTTTACAAATAATATTTGCCGGGAGCGTTTGCCCGCAGGCACGCTGCCATTGTTGCTCAATACACGCACCTGATTCGTTGCATTGATTTTCAGTGGTGCCAGGCGCTGTTCGACCCGGGCCTGCAGTGACGGGGCCGTCCCCGGAGTCTCATTTCCGCTTCCGTTCAGTCACGTTCTGCACTTTGGGGCGCGCCCCGCACCGACGGCACAGCGACAATTGGAGGAATTAGAAGCCAAATGAAGGCACGCGCTCCCCGCCCGGCGCGACCCCAGCGCGGCGGACAGGAGCGGAATGGACTCCGGAGGAGCTCACATCAGATCGATGAGAATGTGGCAAGAGGGAGCTATCAGCTATTGGCCGAAGAGTGGAGCATTCTGACGCCGTATGTATCACTGGCGTTTTGTCCTTCGTCCTCTATAAGACGTAGGATTTTCACTCAATTTAACTTTGCTCACAAGCTAAGCCTGAATTATATATCAAACCGACTGGCAGGTTTGAAGCACGCCTAGTTAAGTGTCTACTTATACCTATGCCACTTGTGGTGTTTCTAGCCTCCTCATTAGCCGTTTTTTCTTCTTCGAAAACTAACTCTTCTTTTCGGTCACCGCGGACGGGTCTCAATTCCTCGTTCCAACGTAAAGGAGTGCCCCTATTGTCTACCGAATACGGCCTTGGCTGGAATGGTATCACGTGAACATGGAGCTTGTCTACTTTTCGCCTCTGTCCGAAAAAAAAAAACACCTGTGCGGGCAACGCGGCAGTGCGGTGAAAGGAGAAGATCGCTGATACCGTAATACTCTTTTGAGTTTTGTACCAGAATAATGTTCATTTTTCCTCAATTGTTTTAACCAGCCTGAACCAGCAGACTGCCATGAATAAGTGACCGACCGGCTAATATAACACGAGTCTAAGTACGCTAGATAACATTAACAATTAGTACCGAAGTCATTGGCACGATGTAGCAGGGAAGAACTAAGAACGGACACATATCATCGATACTTATCACCGACTCGAGTAATACCACCCAGCAGTGAGGCAGAACCCTGAAAACCGAGCCCGGGTGCAGCGGCGACCTGCTGCAGTCCATCTACTGGAATTCAGAGCCGCGATAGCGATCTGCCGCCGGTGCGGATCGGCAGCTGCCGGTTTTTACCGCGGCTCCGGCCCCGCTCCAGACGGACTGTCAGCGGCACTATCACACGCCCGTGCACAGTGACAGCGTGCAACGGCGGAAGTGGACGCCGCCGCAAAATGGCTACCGGAGCGCAGTCTCCCCCCTCGAAACACGGAAGGTAGGGCAAAAAAGCAGGGTAGCCACGTCTAGGGGCAACACTTACTCCATGCAGTGAGGGCGGCAGCGTCCGCGTACTACCAGTTATATCAGTAGCAAAACTCACACAAATTATGTAACTGCATGCATACACTGGTAGTTTCATGACAGCAGGTACTGTCTGAACAAATCTGACCGAACCTACCTGGCGAACTCCAGGCTGAAGCTGATGGGGTCTGTGAGGGTATAGACAAACTGCTGGGAGCTGACGTCTCCCCGCCGCTCCGGCGACAGGCTCCGGTCTGCCGCAGACGGATGGACGAGAGACGGTCAGAACAAAGACGGGCAGAGCACAGACAGTGACAGGCATACAGAGACGGAGCAGATTGCAGAACGAGAACAGGTAAGTAGATATAACAGTTATGGACGTAGGAAGAGTAGGGACGAGAGCATATAGCGAAATGATTTTAAGGCCCTCACAAAGGCAAAGTAATATGGACTGATTCGTCTATTATCATCAAGCCTTCGCCTGTTACCATGCCATTCATTATAGGCATCCCATGCATAAGATCCGTGGCTAGCCCGGACGGCTCGCTATTTGGAACTGCATTCGGTCCCGTAATGGAGACTCAGTTGGGTTTCGGAGAAGGAGTCTCAGTTATATCACCTCACCTCTCTGCGGGTGGTCCTGGTAGAAGTCTCGCCGTCTCTGCATCTCCTCGTTGAACAGTCGCGGCACCAGTTTATAGACGACAGACTGCAGAGTCTGGTCGGGTCTGTAATGAACGCGCGCGTCAGCAAACGACAGTGACTGGAGGGAGAGTGGATAGCTCTAGCCCGCCCAGATACAAGCAGCGGATACGAAGACAACTCGGCTACATAGTTAGCAACTGTCACCCGAATCCGAAAACCGCAGAATCCGCTCCGCCGCTTGGACAGTGCAACTGGTTTCCGTCCCTCTCTTTCTCTTTACATTGAGTTCATGACCAAACCAGTTCCCGACCACAGCCGGTCGCTGTCAGAACAGCGACCTCTCGGAGTTGGTTTGAGTGGACGAACATCTGAATCAGTTGAGATCAGACATATCGTCTTCCGGGTACTGAATCAGTTGAGATCAGACATATCGTCTTCCGGGTAAAGGACTGATAACGATAAGTGAAATGAATCTCAGAATTTCTGATACCACAGACGCTCTACGATTGATATTTCCAAAGCCAACATCCGAGATGAAACGGCAGCCAGATACCCCGAGGCCCTAGATTTGAGTTAAACTGTTCTTTTAGTCCAAAGTCCCGGCCGTGTTCAATGTGGAATATTCCCTTTAAATTTATGTGGTGCCAAAATTTAAAACACCGCGCAGTCTCCTCACGGTGCATGGCGTGACATAGCGGGAAAATCAACTGTTGCGTGCACCTCACACCTACGAAAGCCACCGCAAGCAAAAACCGCACTCGAGTCGGGCAGACGGCTCGGCCTTCCCCACGCCATGGCCTCTGCCAGTTCCGCACGGCGACGCCGTGAGACAGGCGGTAGCCGTCCCTGTCCGTCGCTGCCTGTTCCCGCCTACAGGTGGTCGGTCGGTCACTGGGCCTCGGCCCCGGTCACCCGATCCGCCGCCTCCCGGCCAGCGCGTCCCGGAGGTGGCGAGAGACGCGAGTCAAGGGACTGCGGAGGACCAGGGACGCCGCGCCAGCCGGACGGGCCGGCGGTGGACCGGCCACCAGCCGCCGGCCGGCCGGCCGTGATCGGTTTTTGCACGGTGGCCAACACGCGATACTAACGAAGACAGCGCCGTTGTAATTACGGTGCGACAAAGCCGCGACAAGACACCGTTTCCGCCGCCACCATCGCGGTCCTCCGCTCGGTTACATGCGGCGACCGCGGCGGTGGTCATATGGCTCTCGCCGACGGACCACGCTCGGCAGGTTCGGGCCGAGACAGGAAAAACAGCTGCTCACCGGCGCGACAGGCGATGGCGCTCATGCAAACCAGTTCGCCGAGCTGGATAAGCATTAGGCTGACGTTTGAAAGGCTCTCTCGGGATAGCTGACCTCTCAGAGATAAACACGAATCCTTCCCACAGCAACCGTAAGCTGCTGCCCGCTTTCCACCGCGAGGAAAAGCGCTGGCTCGTGCCTGTATCTTTTTCTTTTTATCAATTGCGCGAGGGCAGTAGTTCCAACATATCTGGGGAGACCTATGATATTCACCGTCTCAGGTTGTTGAAAATGTATCCCCAGACGTATGAATGCATGGCTAAAAAGAGCAGAAGACGAAAGGCATACACTGGATAATAATTTCGGGATGTGAAATATCCAAGGCCATATATTCAAGAATCTGCTCTATGATTTCACATAACTTTGGGTACTGGGGACTGTTTTACAACTACTGGGGAAGGAAGCCAACCTCGCAGTCATAATCCAAGGATAAAACTAAACGAGATGTCATTCCGTTAAAAATGTGAGAATGTTCCTTTAATCAAAACGGCCAAATAAACCGCCCACAAATCACCCACTGCGCAACAAACATCTCATCCGGGCAGAAAAACGACACCAGGAAACGAGCATTTTCTCGTCCCACTCGGCACATCAACCTACTTCCGCGCATTTTAACAGCCTTAGCGTATCCATTAAACGATTAAACCGGACTGATAGACGGCACTCCCCCGAGTCCCGTGATTAAAGCGGCCGGCGCGCTCGCGAGCCAGAGGGGAGTGGGCGGCGTCACGGCGCGGCGGCCGGAGTCCGGCGGCGGCGGGTTTCCGCACCGCTGGAGCTCGAGTGTCGCGTGGCCCGGTTCAGAGGCGGTGAAATCGCCACTGAACTGACCCACACCGACCGACCGGCCGCGGGATGGGCCGCCGCGCTGGATGGGCCGCAGAGCATCACTCCCGGCTGTCCGGTGGGGACGCTCAGAGGTCGGCACCTGGTGATGGTGCAGTGCAAGGCTGGTGATCGGCACCATCACCCAAAATCTGATACTGATCGCCAGTCACCAGATGCGCGGCCAGTCACCAGATGCAAGCTGGCCGATCCGACCGGACTCACTCAGTTAACAGCTCACTTATAATCCTTTCCTCACTCTGCTTTTTTACTGCTACCAATCGATCATTTAAACGTTCACGTGAAAAAGACCGCCCTTATTGTAGTATCTCGGCGGTGCTGCCCTCCCCGTTACGTTTACTACGCCTTCCCTTTTCGCTCGTCGTTCCACTGATCGACTCACCCTACCCTTTCCCCTTTCGGAGCAAGTTCGACAGCGCGGACCCACAAGAAAACGGCGCCAACTCACTGGCGCCAAAAACAAATATGGAGGCTGCGAGAAGACAAAATACCGGTTGGTCTCCCAGTCACCCGAAAAAAGTATCGCAAAAAAGGCGCCGCGGCCCAGTCTGTCTAGCGTGCTGTGGTCTGGCCGTCATCAGCGTGCCACCGGCCAGCCCTTGGACCGTGCGTGTCACTATGTCGCGGGGGGAACGAGTGGGGGGAGGGGGTCTTTTTGCTGACTGATAATTGGCTCTCGCCTCGGCTGTCGCAGATAAGCTGTAATTCCATCAGCTATGGAACAGCGACACCACACTGTGTGGGACTCTATAGGAGACATGAAAAGTGTGCCGGGGCAGGCCCTGTGGTCGCGAGCAAAACACACGACAACCATAATAATAATTTGACCTCGATACTTGGAGGCTTACGTCACGTTTATTATATTTAAAATCAACCGATCAACGCCCACCACAATAGACTGGTGTTACAGGTCTCTTCGCCAAGTTTGGGATCATGCATAGCATATGCCTTGGTATTGCTCATGAACTTGTTTTGGGATTATACATGTCTTCCGCGTTTACCAGTGAAACCAACAGCACATAAGCAAAAGCAGGCATCGCAGGATGCTACAAACCAACATCGCAGTGGTGAAAAAGCCATTGTCATGCATTTGACATTTGACACAATCAAGCCGCCTTTGCAATACATCGATAGAAGCAAGTGTGAAAAATAAACATAATAAAAAATAATTCAAAAAAAATAATAAAAATAATTCATGATGTCATCAATAAAGTAAGTAGTTGAGCTGGTTTGCAGGGCAAGCATAACTTTAAATGCGACTGACATTACCCAAGCGCTGCACCTGCCCTTCCCTACCCAATGCTGCTCCTTCACTCTATCTCCAATGCCCAAAGATAAGCCCTTCTCTCTCAGTGTCCCCCTTCTCTTTCCCCAGCTCTCAGAAATATCATCGGCAATCGGTGAGTGACGGTACCTGAGTGCCGAGGTGAGCCGCGCCTTGTTCAGCTGGGTGCCGCACTTTGGGCAGTCGCACGACTTCTTAACGTGGTCCATGATGCACGACTTGCAAACTGAAACACATAGAAGACAGAGCGTCAGCATCAGCAAGACCCAAACAACGGGGACAATGTTTGAAGGTCGGCAAAATAATAAATATGACGACCTGTAATAGCATACAAAATGGATTTTACAGAAAAAAACATAAGATTAGGTAGATATATCATTAAAACATACAATCATATCAACACTGCAGAACTCCCAGTTCCATAAACTGCCTCACCCTGAAAAGGTAAGGAAAACACGACTACCGACTTCTGCATTAGAGATGCCAAAAATTTGCAATTTCATTACCCGCCCCGCCCCGCAGCTACCCCTTGCCCAACCACAACTACCCGCAAGCTGATTTTGGCTGAACCGAACCCGCAAAAAACCCGCAATTTAAAAAACCTGCTTTTGCAAGAAAAAAATACAGCTGGGTCAATGCTAGAGCTATATAAACCTTACTTGCTTCATTGCTGTGCAGAAAAAGGCAGCCAAACAAATAGTAAGGACTTGAAATTTCTATGCTAAGTCCTCAGGAAGTGCACACTGGATAGCGGAAAATGAATAATGCATCAATACATTTGAAATTCCTTTCTGATAAGAGTTCAGTAAAATCTTTCTCTCACCTTACCCTTAAGCATTGGCTGAGGATCAAAATTTCACTCTAGCTCCCTCTCAATATTAGGCTTCTAGAATGATATTGTTATCAAAATGAATGTTGATATAAAAAGATATGGGATTTCCAGTTAAAAATAAATAGTGACACGTTGAATAATGAGTATCCAGTCGATCTACACATAAAACAAATCACGCAAAGTCCCAGCAAAAACCAACTAACCACCAATAAACCACGCGTTTTTGGAAACATGCGTCAGAAGCGTCATCAACAGCTGATTGCAAGGAATGTTACAGCGACTAAATTATTGCAGCCGTAGTTAGTGCGAACTTGTTGCGAAAACACCGTTGTATAATGCATATTCATGTGCCATTCTGATAGTTATTTTACACAACAGCTAAAGTTTTACAATTCAGAGTTAATCACCTGTTAAAAAAAGAGACAGTAAATACTAAATTAAATGTAATAATTTTAAAGATGGTCATGGTAATGCTCTCCGGCTGGTCATCTCTCGGCATACAAATGACAAGTAAAAAGACAAAAGAAATAAATGCGACCAGCTACGTGGTTTTGAACATGTATAACTGCTATTTTAAGGTATTCAAAAACCAAAACAGAAAAATTGATTGTAAAATTATTATTGCGTCATCAATGTCAGCTTTCCTTCGCCTCAGAGACCAAAATTGACGCAGTCAAATGCCAATCCTTGTCAGAATGTCGGAAGTGCGCCAGTTTTGTATTGCGTTATGTTTGGGCCGCATGCCAGTCAATATTTTGATTTTTTGTAAGGGTAATTGGTGTTATTTTCGTAATATAGGGTGGGACAGAACATAGAGTAGGATAGGTAATGAATGAATTTGCATTGCATCAAATTTTGTTTAGCTGATAGCTCTTTTTTATGCCGACCAGACGCAAATAAAGTAACATGTGGCATTTACTCTGATTTTCAACATCTCATTAAAGTCTGGGTTCTTCCATAATGTATATCTAGTGCACACCAGGGGCGCGGGAACTACTTTCCGACTGGGGGGGCACACCATAATAGAGATTAACCTAGGGTACCCCCAAATCTAGTTTTCTCACCGGTTTTAGGCCACTTATTTTTCACCCCTCGGCTTTTTCAACAAAAAAAGAAAACATTTGCAAAAAAGTGTGGTATTCCGTCTCAAAGCTGTGGGGGCACCGCCCCCACAGCCCCAGAGTTGGGGGGGCAAGCTGCCCCCACTGCCCCCCCGGCTCCCGCGCCTATGGTGCACACTGCACATAGACTTCAGTTCAGCCTCCTATAAGTTTGCTTTCAGGTTCTTTTATGTTTTATGGAATGCTTTCATCAGCATTTACTAATGCTTTGTAGTTTGTTGCTTGTATATACCCTGGTTTGGTCATTGCTAGACTGTGGATGCTATTGCTGGTTGTTTTCAGTTTCGCATTTGAAATGTGCTACCTTGATATATTTTTATATTTGATTCTGTTTTAAAAGTTGTTTTGATGAATATTGTATTGTTAACCTGAGCAAATGCACTTGACATTGTGTTTTGCATCTAAAAAATAAATTTATATGTTCTTAAGTCTGACCGCCAAATACCCGCCACACGACAAGTTTTGCTTCTCGAACCCGCCAAAAACCCTGCGGGTTTTGAAAACCCGCAGAAAGCGGGTTCGCGGGTTCAAAAGTGGCATCTCTATTCTGCATGTCCTGTATCGCAGCGCCGAACAACAAGAAGGCGAGCAACCGGGTAACTTACACGAGTGTAGGCACTCGACGACGGTGAAGGCGTCGACGAAGTATCCGTGACACAGGTGACAGGTGAGCTCGGGGCCCAGCTGGCGGATCTGCAGACGGCGCGCCCGCTCCATCGTGAGCAGTGGTCAGCGACGCACCGCGCCGATACCTGCGGTAGAGGAGCGGATACACGTCAGTGGGGTACCGAGGGATAGGGGATGTAGCGTCATCTGAATGAACTCAGTGACTGGATTTAGTATACACAGACTGGGCTTTCGGAGTGATCAATTCTTTTTGGGGGTAAATGATAAGTAATTGATGATTGTCGACAGAAAGGTCAATTTCTTCCCATGTCCCCTGTGTGAGGACTGAGGAGCAGGTGTTGCATTTTTTGTCCGTACCACACTCGCACATTGCGTCGCGATCACTGCATTCAGCCGCAGGCTATTAGAGCGAGCGCCGCGGTACTGCCTGCCTGACTGAGGTCAAACCTTCCATGTAGCGGCGCGGGTGGCGGTCTCATTTAACCCTCGCACGACCAGGCCATTTCTCATAACACGAACGACCAGGGGGGGGGGGGGTTGTTACGACCCCCCCCCCCCTGGCGTTTCGAAACGGAAGGTCGTAGAGCTTAGCGGAAAAAACCAACGGATTGCTCTCAACGAGATCTCGCGATTGGTGGTATATTTTTTGGTCCTAGGTCAACATTTGACCTACTTTTGACCGGTCAAAGGTCAAATTTTCGGAAAAATAGACTTTTTTCAACTTTCGGCGGCGATTGCGGCAAAACGGTGGAAGATATCGACTTGAAACCTTCACTATCGTGTTCCTTGATCAATTCTCTATCGTTTGGTATGTATTTCGTTTCCCTAGCTCTAAAAATGGCGCGTTGGGAGCGCCGGAAGTCGGCAAGGTCACAGTCGGCGGCAGAAATTCGAAAAATCAAAATTTAAATTTTTGAAAGCTGATTGTATTTTTGGATTTGGGAGGTCCATTTGCTCCCTATAGAAGCTAATATTGCTGCATATTCCCATTGAGGTGACAAGAATTAGCAGAATAGTGGTTCGGGCGCTTTTCAAAAATAGTACCGGACGCTGTTCCTCTTGTGACGTCATAGCTCCGTGACCTGACCTGACCCGGTCAAATTTCTTATACCATATGATAGCCAATACTTGCCCCAACATGCATGGGAAGTTTCATCACGATCCATCAACCGATGTCCGTACCACCGGCAGGAAACCTCGGGCGTTGGCACTCAGTTTGTGAAAATCCGGCCGGAGGCTGTACCTCTTATGACGTCATAACTCCGTGACCTGACATGACCCGATCAATTTTTTTCGGCAAAAGATGCGCAAAGGTTGCCCCAGGGGGTATTGAAAATTTCAGTCCGCTACGACAAGCCGTTTAGCGTGCACTTCGAAAAAACCTCAGGGGGGGTTGATACAACCCCCCCCTAGGCGTTCTAGGGTTAACGGTGCAACAAAGGGACACGGCATCATACAACATTACAACAGACACAGTCAGCGGCGAGGAGAGTCTACCGCTGGCCACAACCACACCTGGGGCGGTATCATGCAACAGACACCGTCAGCGGCGAGGACGGTTTGCCACTGACCACCAGCACACCTGGGACCCGAATCTCTGGCCAGAAGACCGCCACGCCGGCCGGCTGGGACGGACCGAGAGGCAGATGTCTGCAGTGATTTATTGAGAAGCAGACAGCTGCCGAGTGCCGGGTCACCCGCAGTAATTACTGACACGCTGACCGCGCTCTGATGAGCGGCAATAGTCACGCTGTATTTAGGGACACCAGACATATCCATAGCACAGGAAGAAGCGCCTAGCATTGCAGAAGAATGAGATAAGACTGGGGTGGAACGTGATCGAGATCCAAAGAGGAAACGGTATGAGATAGCGTGATTGACAAGGTTGCCACAAATATAAAATACCTACAGGATGCGCTAAGACCAGGTGATAGCACATTTTTCCATAAAATTAATTAAAATATGGCAGCCTATTGTACCATAGCAAAACGTTACCAGAGTCGTGCGTCTTTGCGGGATTATCTCGCGATTATCTCGCTGTTGGCATCCAGCATCATCACCCTTCAAAAGGTGTGGACTGTGGGACTGAAGGATAGCTTACAGTGCTTCACTGTCTGAAATGTTGTGTCAGTAAATGTAAGCAACATAATAAAAATGACTGCTTAGCGAAAAAAATCGCAATGGCATTCAGCTTGGCAATTATACGTGTAGGTATATGAGCGCGGGACACTTACCTAAACCGAGGAAAGAGGAATGCCTCGACAAGAAAGCATAACAAATCAAATAATAAAGAAAGGGAACAAACCTTTTCCATGGTCCATGAAACCGCAGAGTAAGCGAACAAGTGAAACGCTGACCTCCAACCGCAATGCTACGGAACAAATTACCTATCCTTTTTTTTGGCCCTTCAATGTTATTCTTTAAACAGATTTAAAATGTTCAGTAGCCAATCCATTCCTATAGGTAGTTAGTTTGTCTAACTCTATGCAACACCCGAGCGACGCGCAGATTCTAAGCTTCATGTGTCTCATCTGGTAACCTCCTGACATCTGGTCCCGACTCTTGAGACTATATAAAGAGTTCCGATTTCGCCTTTCGGCATCATTTTTACAGCAATGCCGCTATAAATATCAATATCGGTAAAAGTTTTCGGAGAATCAGGGAATTCCGTTTTTCTTTCGCCTGTCCACTCATTCATTTTCTTTGAGTTGGTTGGCAGGTTGACCCCCCCAAGACAAATTTTACGTTCGGATCGATGGGGGGGGGGTACGGGACAGCACGGGGCATGTGTCCCACTCCCACCCCAGCCAACACACGGACCAAGGCCTTGGTCCGTGCCCTTGCAAGGGTGCATTCGGGGCAATAAATAATGAGAATGTCAACGTCACACCAAAAGTCACACAAACGAGGCGCCCTACCTGATACGAGCCAGCTCTAACGTTAACAACAGAAAAGAAAAGCAGCATCAGATGCATGACAGTGCCCAATCTCATGACCCTGGAGTTTTCCCGTCCCTACCACATAATCTCGGCTGTCGTCGCGAGGAAAGGGGGAGGCAGACACATCACCGACGCCCCTGGCACGACGCCCCCACCAGTCATCGCCTCGGGCGCCTGCCCCCCCCCCCCCTCCTGTCGCCCCGCGGCACCACGCCGCCGGCCCGTGCCATTGGTCGTCGGCCGGCACCGTCGCTGACGCACCGAAACAAAGCAGCCACATGTAAACACGTCCACTGCGCATGCGCGAGCCGGCCGACGGCGCCGCGTCGGGGCTGTCCAATAAATAACGCAACACCGGACAAGGCAAATAACTCCAGAACGCGACGAGATATCGAAAAAGTGATTTCACCAGTGAATTCAGCGTGTGAAAATTGTACTCACCGTAAATTATCTTCCCTGTAGCTGTCCCATCTACCGAGGAATCACACAAAACGGAGGAACCACTCGCCGCACCACCCCACGCGCGCCGTGAAAAACGCTGCTCTGCGCGCGGCCAGCAGCCGCCGGATCCCCCCGGCGGTCACGTGACTCAAGTTCCCGGATGAGGCTCCCCCTCGCAGCGGCGCGCACAACCGGCTCCGCCGCCTGCTACCCAAGGCCGGGGAAATTCGTTTTAGCGTTTCGGAGGGTCGATTATAATTACGCCGGGCCGGCGACGGCGCCAGTGGAGAGAGGGGGAGAGCGGGGAGAGCCTGCCTTTTGTGCGGCGGCTGGCGGGTAGAGCGCGGAGCGGACGGATGGGGACGCGGCCCGACCCAACGGTCGGGGCCGGTCGGCCGGCGTGCCCGCTGGTAATTGAGGGGACGCTCGGGTCCGATGGACGTGGCCGGCGATTAGGGGCCCGGGCGCACGGGGGAATGGCATGCGTGCTGCCGGCGCTGGGGCGTCCCTGGCGGTCCCGGCCAATAGGAGTTTTAATTTGTCGGAAGGGATGGCAGGACTGTGTGCGAATGAGTAGGCACAGTTGTCGAAAGAGGGAGAGAAAGAAGAGGGGAGGGAGGGACTAGAGTCTAGAGAGGGACTGGAGGGTCATGGTTATCATAATATCAGTGAACACCGAAACGGCAAGTTGCCAAGTTGCCACTGGCAACTGGAAATGTTAATTTATTGAAAAAGCTGGTCGATATACGTAGATTGTAGGAGTCGTAGACACCATTAACCGATGCAACAAATCGAACTCATTGTCTGACAGTCCGCCACTAGGTGCATACCTATAACAAAACAAAAAATTAGAAACGGGTGATGGACACAGAATAAAGACCAAAGTTTCATCAACAACATTTCTAACGTCCCATCCGCCGTACATTGCAGAGATAAGCGAAGTGACAATTTTCGGTGCGGACTACATATAGCGTGGATAGTGCAGGGCATATTTTAACAAATTTTTACTGCGTCCCAAAGTTGAGCAGAGGGCACGTGCTACGACTAAGGGCATAGGGCAAGGAACAGAGTAGGGCACTGAGGAGGGCAGAAAGTAGGGCACGGCAGGTTACAGGGCATGACACAGGACATTTTAGAGGGAAGGGTACAGGTCAGGGCACACAGCAGGGCACAGGTCAGGGCACAGGGCAGGGACGCAGTGGGTCAAATCAGCAGGGGCTACGTCCCAGGCGAGGGGGCTGCGTCCCAGAATGGGACGCAGTAAGTGCCTTAACCCGCGCCCAGATGGGGTCTGCCGAGCAACGCGGTCTGATGGGGGGGGGGGGCCATTTTGGCCCCCCCCCCCCTCAGATCTCGAGAACCACGCAACATAGCGACAAGCGGTAAACGGTGTTGGATAGCCCCAACAGGGAACTACCTTGTGACCCAATTTCATTGACCTCGGTCAAACCGATGACGTCACAGGTCAGGTCAAAGGTCGAATTTTCACCGTTTACAGGCATTTCAAGAAATGCGTTGTAAAATCGTGTAAAATGCATTTCATTGAAAATCATCGATGGGGAAATGTTCTTCAAACACATATTTTGCTATTTGAGGTCACTGATACCAGGTCAGGTCACAGAGGTCAGGTCACTGGGGGGTCACAATATGAAAGTGTCGTGTGATACATGTTTTATGGTCCATTTTACATGACAAATGCGATTATGTGGGTCAGACAGACTTTAGGGCCAGCTTAGGTCACGTTT